GAGGTGAGGAGAATATAGAAAAGAAGAGCAATGTAGAAAAGAACAGGTTAAAAAGTATGAAAATGGAACAAGTAATTTTATGAAAATATGTTTTGGGGAGTTCACCCCCTTCCCCACAGTTTAAAGTAATTCACTACCTTCAACCTCCACCTTAACAATGTAAGGGCATTAAAATACTAATCTGTTTACATTATAGGGAGTTTTTTTGGTATTCATACAGTATTTTAAATTTTATTTTACTGTGGTAAGAACATTTTACATGGGATCTACCCTCTTAAATTTTTGAGTGTACAGTACATCATTGTTGACCACAGGCATGAAATTGTACAGCAGATCTCTACAGCTTATTCACTTGCTTGACTGAAACTCTATGCCCATTGATTAGTAACTCCCCGTTTCCCTCTCCCCTCAGCCACTGGCAACCACCATCCACTCTTTGATTCTATGAATTTGACTATTTTAGATATGTGGGCTCAGGCAGTATTTGTCCTTATATGACTGGCTTATTTCCTTTAGCATAATGTCCTCAAGGTTCATCCATATTGTAGCATATTGCAAAATTTCCTTTTTTTTAGGACTAAATAGTATTCCGTTGTATGTATAGACCACATTTTCTTTATGCATGTATCTGTTGATGGACATTTAGGTTGTTCCCACATCTTGGCTATTGTGAATAGTGCTGCAATGAATTTAGGAATGCTAATATCTCTTCGAGATCCTGATTTCAATTGTTTTGGATAAGTACCCAGAAGTGGGATTGCTGGATCATATGGTAGTAATATTTTTAATTTTTTTAAAATTTTTTTTAAAGAGTAGCCAGGGTGGCCCTTTATTTTATTTATTTATTTATTTATTTATGGCTGTGTTGGCTCTTCATTTCCGTGCGAGGGCTTTCTCTAGTTGTGGCAAGCGGGGGCCACTCTTCATTGCGGTGCACGGGCCTCTCACTGTCGCGGCCTCTCTTGTTGCAGAGCACAGGCTCCAGACGCGCAGGCTCAGTAGTTGTGGCTCGTGGGCCTAGCTGCTCCGCGGCATGTGGGATCTTCCCAGACCAGGGCTCGAACCCGTGTCCCCTGCATTAGCAGGCAGATTCTCAACCACTGCGCTACCAGGGAAGCCCATATTTTTAATTTCTTGAGGAATCTCTGTATTGTTTTTTAGAGCAGTTGTACCATTTTGCATTCCTACCAGCAGTGTGCAAGCATTCCAGTTTCTTCACATCCTTGCCAACTCTTGTCCTTCTTTTCTTTTTTTGATAATAGCCAATCTGACTGGTGTGAGGTGATATCTCATTGTGGTTTTGATTTGCATTTTCCTGATGCTTAGTGACGTTGAGCATGTTTTTATATACCTGTTGGCCATTTGCATGTTTTCTTTGGAGAAATGTCTATTCAAGTCCTTAGCTCATTTTATTTAATTAATTAATTATTTTTTCACACACACTGTATTTTATTTTTACAAGAGATAAATAAACTGACACCAAGCATTGTAAATGGATGACCACAACAAAAGCAACAAGGATTGCAATTACCAAACATGAAACACACTCATACTATGTCATAATATTGACATTCAGTCCAGTAATCATCCATTGTAACCGCTCCTTTACTTTGCAGTGAAAATTGATTTGTATATTTTTTGCCTCTGAGTCCTTGTGGGATTTTTTATTTTTATTCAAACAGAAAGTCACAAAAATTATAATCATCCTCATCAGTTCACTCAGTCCCATGTAATTAATTTTTTTTATCTTGATCTTTTGTTAGCACTTTTATGAATTCATCAGTTTTCCATTAGAGTTCTGAAAATGTTTATTCATTCAGTTCAGCAGTATAGTCAGTTACCAGAAACCTGTACTTGTCAGAGTCTTTTCCATGAATTCCTTGAAGATGAAACCCTTTTTTTTTTTTTTGCGGTACGCGGGCCTCTCGCTGTTGTGGTCTCTCCCATTGCGGAGCACAGGCTCCGGACGCTCAGGCTCAGCGGCCATGGCTCACAGGCCCAGCTGCTCTGTGGCATGTGGGATCTTCCCGGACTGGGGCACAAACCCGTGTCCCCTGAATCGGCAGGCGGACTTTCAACCACTGCGCCACCAGGGAAGCCCGAAACCCTTTTATAGGAACATTTTTGCAAAAGCATCAGAGTACACCCAGAACTGTCTGTAAATGACAAAAGACTTAAAAATGACCACGGTTAAAGATTTGATGAAAGTTCATAATAATGCAATTGACAAGGAAATTTAGTTATTTCTGAGATACACATTTTAAAGTAATAACTAGAATTATGACTTATAACTTTATAGCAGAACATATAAGATTTTTAGAAATTTCATGTAATGTCTGAAACATTTATATTAACATATTTCCATACAAATAACCCAAAGAAAGTTTAGTATTAGTTTTTTGTTTGTTTGTTTGTTTGTTTATACTGCAGGTTCTTATTAGTCATCAATTTTATACACATCAGTGTATACATGTCAATCCCAATCACCCAATTCAGCACACCACCATCCCCACCCCACCGCGGTTTTCCCCCCTTGGTGTCCATATGTTTGTTCTCTACATCTGTGTCTCAACTTCTGCCCTGCAGACTGGTTCATCTGTACCATTTTTCTAGGTTCCACATACATGCGTTAATATACAATATTTGTTTTTCTCTTTCTGACTTACTTCACTCTGTATGACAGTCTCTAGATCCATCCACGTCTCAACAAATGCAAGTCCTTAGCTCATTTTAAAATCAGGTTATTAGTTTTATTATAATTGAATTGTTGGAATTCCTTATATATTTTGGAGATTCACACCTTATCAGATATATGGTCTGTAAGTATTTTCTCCCATTCCATAGGCTGCCTTTTCACTCTGTTGATTGTTTCCTTTGCAGTACAGAAGCTTTTTAGTTTGATATAGTCCCACTTATTTATTGATGTTTTTGCTGCCTTTGCTTTCCATGTCATATCCATGAAGTCATTGTCAAGATCAATGTCATGAAGCTTTTCCCCTGTATTTTCTTCTAGGGTTTTTACAGTCTTAAATCTTATGTTTAAGTCTTTAATCCATTTTGGATTGGTTTTCATTTGTGGTATAAGATAAAGGTCCAGTTCTTTCTTTTGCATGTTTTGCCAGCACCATTTGTTGAAGAGACTGTCCTTTCCCCATTGTGCATTCTTGGCATCCTTGTCAAAGATTAGTTGACAAAATACACATGGATTTACTTCTGGGCTCTCTGTTCAGTTCCATTGGTCTATATGGCTGTCTTTTTGCCACTACCATACTGTTTTGATTACTGTAGCTTTGCAGTATAGTTTGAAATCAGGAAATGTGATGCTTCCTCTTTCTCAAGATTTTCTTGCCTATTTGTCATCTTTTGTGGTTCCATATGAATTTTAGAGTTGTTTTTTCTATTTCTGTAAAAAATGCCATTGAGATTTTGATAGAAATGTATTGATTCTATAGATTGCTTTGGGTAATATGGACATTTTAATAACATTAATCTTCCAGTCAATGAACATAAGATATTTTTCCATTTGTTTGTGTCTTGTTTAATTTCTTTCATCAATGTTTTGTAGTTTTAAGCATACAAGTCTTTCCCCTCCTTAGGTAAGTTTAATCCTAGATATTTTATTCTTTTGGTGCTATTGTAAATGAGATTGTTTTCCTAATTTCCTTTTTGTATAGTTCATTGTTAGTGTACAGAAATGCAACTGATTTTTTTGTATTTTGATTTTGTATCCTGTAACTTTACTGAATTTTTTGATTAGTTCTGACAATTTTTAATGGAGTTTTTAGGGTTTTCTAGATATAAATTATGTCATCTGCAAGCAGAAAATTTTACTTCTTCTTTTCTGATTTGGATGCCTTTTATTTATTTTTCTTATCTAATTCATCTGGCTAGGACTTCCAGTACTATGTTGAGAGTGGGTATCCTTGCCTTGCTTCTGATCTTAGAGGAAAATCTTTTAGTTTTTCACTATTGGGTATGATGTTAACTATGGACTTTTCATATATGGCCTTAATTATGTTGAGGCCATTTCCTCTAATTCTAGTTTGTTGAGAGTTTTTATCATGAAAGGATGTTGAATTTTGTCATCTATTGAGATGGTCATGTGATTTTTATTCTTCATTCTATTAATGTGGCATATCACTTTAATTGATTTTTGTGTGTTAGACCATCCTTGCATCCCACGGATAAATGCCTCTTAATCAAGGTATATGATCCTCTTAATGTGCTGTTGAATTCAGTTTGCTAATATTTTGTGAGGATTTTTGCATCTAAACTCATCAGGGATATTGGCTTATAGTTTTCATGTAGTGTCTTTGTCTTGCTTTACTATCACGGTAATGCTAGCCTCATAAAATGAGTTTGGAAGTGTGCCCTCCTCTTCATTTTTTTGGAAGAGTTTGAGAATGTTTGGTGTTAATTCTGACTTAAATGTTTACTAGAATTCTCCTGTAAAGCCATCTGGTCCTGGACTTTTCTTTGGGAAATTTTTGATTACTGAATCAATCTCCTTACTAGTTATAACACTGTTCAGACTTTCTTTCTTTAGTCCTCTGGGGATCTCCTTGGAAAAGTTGGGGCTCTGAACGCATGAACCAATCTCTTCGCTCTGAGTGAAATTGAGGGGTAGGTTAGCTCTTCCTAATTATGCTATGCCAGGAGCAGTGTCTCTTGTGAGAGGTGTCCCAAACCTCAGTACTGAATTGGTGAGTCTGTTTTTACATTCTCCTGGGTGCAGGAGACTTTCGGTTGGTTTCTGATTTCTCACAAAGGGAAATTGTCCGTAAATTGTTGCTGAACTGGTGTGTTTGTCAAGAGAAGGAGGACTTTTTACTCTACCATCTGGCTGACTTTACTCCTCTGGGGAGGGAGATATTTTTAACTACCCTTAATTTTTCTCATAAAATTTTAATACTAAAGGTAGTTTTGGGGGGCTGATATTCAGAATACTTATTGTAAATGATTTATAGTAATTTTATTGACATTTTCTTTATTCCATTTAGATAACTTGAAATTCCCTATTTCAATAAATGCCGAGCCCTGTATAACATTGAAGGGAGGCCGTGGAAATCTGTATCTTTACTACATTCCAAGTAAGTCCAAAGTTTTGTTTTTGTAGATTACAATTAAAAGGGTTCCAGAAATATCAATGAAAAATGATGGTGTTCTACACGTATGGGTATTAGTTTTCTCTTGCTATGTAACAAATTACCACAATCTTAATGGCTTAAAACAGGACATATTCTTTATCTCATAGTCTTCGTATGTCAGTAGTCTGGGCATGGCTTACCTGTGTCAGCTTCAGGAGGTCTCCCACAAGGCTGCAATTAAGGTGTTGGCCAGGGTTTCTTCTGAAGGCTCAACTAGGGAAGGACCCGATTCTAAGCTTATGTGGTCGTTGACAGTGTTCAGTTTCTGTCTGACTGTTGGCCAGCCCTCAGTTCTTTGTCATGTGGGCCTTTTCATCATGGCTTCTTGTTTCCCTGAAGTTAGCAAGGGGGACAGTTAACTAACAAGATAGAAGTCACAGTCTTATGTAGCCTAATGATGAAAGTGCCACCCTATCACCTTTGCTGTATTCTGTTTGTTAGAAGCAAGTCACTAGGCTAGCTCATACTCATGAGGAGGGATTACATAATGGCATGGTAAAAATTGAAATAATTTGAAACTTCTAACCATCTACTAGGTATATCCATTGTCAATCATTAGATATTCAGCTGATAAGTAAACTTGGGTTTCCATGAGTCAAAGATTTCTGTATGAGCAAGCAAGGACTTTTTTTCCTAAAGGTGACCTTTCTAGAAAAAAATATGTTGATGATATGAAAAAAGGCAATGATTTTTGTTTTGTTTTGTGTTATTTCTTCTTCTTCCTCTCTATGATTTTACTTGCCATCATCTTATAAAAGTTAATTGGGTGATGGTGATAGCATTGGGCTGGATCTGAGTGTTTGTGAAAACGCACAGAAGTTTCATCCTCTCCTACCGGTCAGCTGTTGCCTGTAAGGATCCCAGGAAATTCAGTTGTAATCATCATCATTATCATCATTGTTTTCATTATCACTATTATCATTTACATCCTAGCTTATATTTGGAGCTTATACTTTAAAATGTGCTTTTCCATAAATAAACTAAAGAAACATATCCCCCTGATTTTAGTTCTCCAGCTTACAGGAAAAAGGGTAGTTGAGAATCTAGAAATGATAGACGATAAACTTATGCTTTAATTTTCCTGAAAACCTGTATCTTGATACTTTGTTTCTGCATTCATTTATTCATTAAAAAATACTTAGTAAATGTATAGTTTATTTCAAGTATTATGCTAGGTGCTGTGAATTCATTGATAAAAAAGACATTCTCTTGACCTTCAAGAATCTCTCAGTGCAATAGAAGAGGCAGATGTGTAGATAATATAGTATGATAAGTGAAATGATAGCAATAAGGCTTAATGGTAGCACAGAGGAAAGAACAATGAGCTACTTGCTCCACTTTCTTGGCCAAGGGGGAAATAAATAATCTACATTTTTTTTTTTTTTACTGAAGTATAGTTGATTTACAATACTATATTGAGTTCAGGTGTACAACATAGTGTTTCAGTACTTTTACAGATTATACTCCATTTAAAGTTATTACAAAATAATGGCTATATTTCCCTGTTCTATATGATATATCCTTGTTGCTCATTTTATACATAGTAGTTTGTATCTCTTAATCCCCTAAAATAATCTAAATTTTTGCCCAACAAAGGCTCTACAATTTCTTCCTCTTTTCTCAGGTTTTGTTTTCTGGTCTATGTGGGGTGCTTTACCTCTAGGTATTTGCAAAAGTGTTTATTTACATAATGAATGACCTCATTTTCAAGTGAGCCCCTTCCCCTTAACACACAGGAAACAGGCCTTCCAGACCCAAGTAATAATAATACAACACAGTTTCACTTAGGGTTCTCTGAAAAGCAGATACCAAGAAGGAATTAGACATACAAAGGATTTTGGGGGGGGGAAATGTTTGTGAACAATAAAGGAAAGAGGAAGCTAGAGCAGGCAAGGAGAGGAGGCAGATTGAAGTGTTGGTCCGATACCTTTGAAATGAGAGAGAAGGAAGGAGAATTTGGTAGGATGGTCATCAGACCAAAATGCATCCCTGAGACATCCTCAGCCAGGTCAGTGGGGAGTCTTAGAGCAATGATTGCCTGTCACACGTGTCCCATGATAGGCAGGTGTAGGCTGGCTCTAGTGTCCTTGTTGTGCTCGGTCATTATAGGAGCAGACTGTTCGAGCCTGGCCTCCGGATGAGTGCTAAGATATATCTAAAAGTGCAGTAGCTGGTGGCTGTCTGCCCACGGCCCTCCTCCACACAGATTCTTTGGAAGGGAGTTTTAAGCAGCACACCTCCATGGCCACCACAAATACCCTAATCACTTACTAAATATGACATTTATATAACATGATATTAATTCAGTAATGAAAGAATGATTCAGTCATGTTTGTTTTTTTTGTGTGGTTCGCGGGCCTCTCACTGCTGTGGCCTCTCCCGTTGCGGAGCACAGGCTCCGGACGCGCAGGCTCAGCGGCCATGGCTCACGGGCCCAGCCGTTCCGCGGCATGTGGGATCTTCCCGGACCGGGGCACGAACCCGTGTCCCCTGCATCGGCAGGCAGACTCCCAACCACTGCGCCACCAGGGAAGCCCCGAGTCATGTTTTTTTATGATGCTTTGTAGTTATGACCTGAGTTTCCCTAGAATATACTAGAACATCTGTATAAAATGTGGGCCACATTTATAGAAATCAACCTTATTTTTGTGGCCCTATCGCTACTTAAATTCAGTAAGAGCTATAAGAGCAATCTTGTACCAAAAATAGGTTGGGAATGGAAATGATTTGAGACTTCATAGCCTTGCTAATAAATTATATGTCACTATTAACTAATTGACATATACAGCTGGTTCATAAGCCTTCCTCAACGTTATTTTCAGAAGTTCCCAAAGTTGTGTTAGGTGAGCTCAAAAACAGTCTTCTTCGCTAAACCCCCGAGAGCCACCATGTTTCTTGTCTCTCACTCCAACACCCACATTGATATCTCTGGCCTGCTGAGCCATGCAAGTGGTACCTCACTTCAACCACTGTTCACGTGCCTAACATGACCACAGTGATATCTAAGAGCAAGAAGCTTCTCAAGATGTAAAGGGTTGAGATGTCAAAGCAGCACTTCCTTTCTTGGAATCATTGAAGACTGGAATCATAGTGTGTTCCACACAGAAATGGAAGAAGATTCTTTGTTCTGCATTATCATTGGATGCCACGCTACCATGTGCTTGTATCTCAAGGCATCCCTTGTGAAAACAGCTCTTCAACTTCTATACACATCCCTGCTTTGAGAAAGGTTCAGGTCCATGCCCGTGGTGTGGGCCACGGGGCCACTGTTTGAAACAGACTGTATAACGTTCTTCTTCTCTACACTTTACCCTGAAAGTAGAGAAGTGGAGACAAGTAAGGAAGTTTGGTGGTACTTTAGGCTCAGAGTAACGAGAGGCTGCATTAAGATAGTGGTAATGGGGATAAAAGGGACACCAGTAGGATCGACCGGGATTAGGAATTCTAGTGCTGATTTGGTGATGAAGATAAGGAAATCAATTTTGCATCTTTTGGGTGTGGTAATAAGTGACATTTGAGTAGAGATATTGAATGCACACAGGGGACAGATGCTTAAAAGAAAGGTTGAGACTAAAGAGGAAGATTTGGGAGTTATTACCCTATGTGGTATTTAACGCTGGGGAGAGTGTGCAGTGTGAAAATTGAGAAGCACTGAGATTAGAATCCTAAGAAAGATGAGTCAGTGAGCTAGACTGGGGAGAGGAGTCAGAACGCAGAACGGTTGGAGGACAACAAGAAGAGAGTGGTAGTGCCAACACCAAAGGAAGGACAGGGTTTTGAGGAAGGAGCTAGCAGTTCTGTTCTGCATAGCCAAGTTCAAGGTAAAGATGGAAAAACTTTTTTTAAATTTTTATTATGGCTACAATGAGTCATGGTGACCTTATTAGGAAAATACTTTCCATGAGGTAGTGGTTACAATAATTGTTTTCATTATAAGAGAGATTGTGCATCTTGTCCAGTTGGGCCAACTGAGTAACTTAGAAGAGTTGAGCAAAATGCATTTCTTCCTGGAATTTTTCATCTTCATTGGTAATAAAGAGATCCTGAGGAAATAATAAATAGCTCATCTATTTAATTTTTAATCAAAAGGTTCAATTTTGTTCTCCAAGAAATCTTTCATCAAAACAACCTTCCTGGTCTTCCCTGGTGGCGCAGTGGTTGAGAATCCGCCTGCCAATGCAGGGGACACGGGTTCGAGCCCTGGTCTGGGAAGATCCCACATACCGTGGAGCAACTAGGCCCGTGAGCCACAACTACTGAGCCTGCGCGTCTGGAGCCTGTGCGCCACAACAAGAGAGGCCACGACAGTGAAAGGCCCACGCATCGCGATGAAGAGAGGCCCCCGCTTGCCGCAAATAGAGAAAGCCCTCCCACAGAAACGAAGACCCAACACAGCCAAAAATAAATAAATAAATATATAGAAAAAAAAAAACCTTCCTTTCTCTTCCCTCTCTTTTGAATTTCCTAGTGGAACTATGACTACAACTGGAAATTTTATATTTTCATTTGATAGTTTTCTCAAAAATATAGGTTATTCTATTTTTAGGCATAGCCCACATAATTCTCACTGTGGAACATTCTATTTGATTACAATCAACTAGTGGCCCTCTCAGAACTTCACTTTTCTCGTCTACAAAACAGGATAATAATATCCACATTATAGGTAGTTGTCATAATTAAATGAAATAATGTAGGAAAAGCACAGGGCATATTTTAAGTATACACTAAATGTTGGTTTTTAAATATTTATTAAAAAATACCTTATTTGAGTGGCTAATGAAATTTTTTTCTTTTTAAGGAAGAGACATAAAAAGCTTATATTTCAATATCTATGTATCTTTTAAGTCCGTGAATTTCCCAGTGCGCAAACAAGTTATTTGCCGAGGATCTGATGATGATTATTCTTTTTGCAGAGCTCTGAAGGGAGGTAAGCATTCAATTCGTATTACCCTCAGAATAGAGTATAATACCTTATGAGAACGCTATGAAAATTAAATACATTAAAAATGTGAAGTTCCTTTTCTGATAATAATTCTTTATTTCCATCCAAAGTTTTTCTTTTAGCAGTTTAAACAATATTTTACAATTATGTTATTGGATTGTTATTAAGATGACACTTATTTGGTGTGTTTGAAGGGATATTAAAATTTTTACCTTGTTCAGATTAATACTGTATATTTACCCTTGGTTATGGTTCTCTGTTTCTAAATATTACATTTATTATTTTTCATAAAAACACAATAGATTTTTCTATGCACTTACATTCGTTCCCTCAGTGTCTTTTCTCCCCTTTTTTCCACCCTGGAATTATTCACAGAATCATAAAATTTCAAACTTTAGGAACTTAGAGGTCACTTATTGCAAACCCATGAATTTTTCCTTAATAATTTTTAAACTAGCATTTTAAATAGTTTAAAAAATTCTATATATCATATTGTCACATTACCAAAAACTAGAAAATGAAAACAATCAAAAAGTCACAGAATCATATTTCTAAGAACATTTTGTTCTCATTTTTTCATTCATGCATATTGTTATGCAGTTGTAAGTATACTGTACTATAATTATTTTCTCTTTTTTTTTTCTTGCGGTACGTGGGCCTCTCACTGTTGTGGCCTCTCCCATTGCGGAGCACAGGCTCCGGACGTGCAGGCTCAGTGGCTATGACTCATGGGCCTAGCCCCTCCGCGGCATGTGGGATCTTCCTGGACCGGGGCACGAACCCGTGTCCCCTGCATCAGGAGGCGGACTCTCAACCACTGCACCACCAGGGAAGACCTAATTATTTTCTTTTTAAAAATTAATTTATTTAATTATTTGACCAGATAATCCATGTGGTTTAAAAATCAGAGTATAAATGTTACATAATGAAACATCTCCCTTAGTGGGTGTGCCCTGGTTTACTTAACTATTTTCCTATTAGACACTTAGTCTTCTTCTGATATTTTTACTATTATAAATAATATTATAATGCATATATAAATATTCTCATATTTTAGATTTGAATATTCTCATGTTTGGAAGAAGGGGTTAACACATAACTCCAAGGGAGATTCCTGAGCTTAAATGGTTTGAATCTATGTGGTTTTGTTTACATAAGGCTGAATTACTTTTCTGAAAGATTGTATCAGTTTATACATTGTACCACTGGCAATATATACGTATAGTAGTTTAATCTCTGTCTTGTTAACATTGGGCATTATCATTTTATTTTTAAAAATTTTTATTGGGGTATAATTGCTTTACAATGGTGTATTAGTTTCTACTTTATAATAAAGTGAATCAGCTATACATATACATATATCCCCATATCCCTCCCTCTGGCATCTCCCTCCCACCCTCCCAATCCCACCCCTGTAGGTGGTCACAAAGCACCGAGCTGATCTCCCTGTGCTATGCGGCTGCTTCCCACTAGCTATCTATTTTACATTTGGTAGTGTATATATGTCCATGCCAGTCTCTCACTTTGTCCCAGCTTACCCTTTCCCCTCCCTGTGTCCGCAAGTCCATTCTCTATGTCTTCAGAACCTTTTTTTTTTTTTTTAGATTCCATATATATGTGTTAGCATATGGTATTTGTTTTTCTCTTTCTGACTTACTTCACTCTGTATGACAGACTCTAGGTCCATCTACCTCACTACGAATAACTCAATTTCGTTTCTTTCTATGGCTGAGTAATAGTCCATTGTATATATGTGCCACATCTTCTTTATCCATTCATCTGTTGATGGACATTTAGGTTGCTTCCATGTCCTGGCTATTGTAAGTAGAGCTGCAATGAACATTGTGGTACATGACTCTTTCTGAATTATGGTTTTCTCAGGGTATAGGGCATTATCATTTTAAAAAAGAAGTTTTAAAAAAACTTTATTAGGTTAAAAAACTTAAGCCTAATTGTTTTTTTTGTTTGTTTGTTTTTAATAAATTTATTTATTTATTTTTGGGTGTGTTGGGTCTTCGTTTCTGTGCGAGGGCTTTCTCTAGTTGCGGCGAGCGGGGGCCACGGGCCTCTTCATCGCGGTGCACGGGCCTCTCACTATCGCGGCCTCTCTTGTTGTGGAGCACAGGCTCCAGATGTGCGGGCTCAGTAGTTGTGGCTAACAGGCCTAGTTGCTCTGCAGCATGTGGGATCTTCCCAGACCAGGGCTCGAACCCATGTCCCCTGCATTGGCAGGCAGATTCTCAACCACTGCACCACCAGGGAAGCCCCCAAGCCTAATTGTTTTTTATTAACATTTAAAAAATTACTATTGCAGTTGAATGTTTTCCCCTATAATTATTTACAAGTAACCAGTGCCGTCTCTTGTTTAAAAACAGATTTCAGGCAGTTTACATGCATACGTTAATTTGAGCAACATAACATAAATTAGATAGACAAAAATTAGTTGGGACAAAAATGGAAAATAAGGGTAGAGAATTAATGGAACGAGAGTAATATAAAAATTCTTGACAGAAAGGCTTATACTTGCTTTGACAGGGACATCAATTGGATTATACATTTTTTAGCAGTCAATAAAAAAAAAAAGTTTCTGGGAGTTCCCTGGCGGTCCAGTGGTTGGAACTCTGCGCTTTCATTGCCGAGGGCCCACATTCGATCCCTGCTTGGGGAACTAAGATCCCACAAGCTGTGCAGTGTGGCCAAAAGAAAAAATTTCTAAGTAAACCAATCTGCTTGCTATGCAAATGAAGCTTCAAGATATGTCTCCCAGCCAACCAACTCTCCTCATCTCTAACTTGTCTGCCACGCCCAAGCCACATGCACATTGTGGAGCTGGCATTGCTTATGAGTCTGGGCTCAGAGCCATAAACACCTGAGTCTGTGTCCCAGCTTTTCCACCTATCAGCAATGTGACTTTGGGTGTTATTGATAGAGGTTAGCTCTATCGACCTCGTTTTCCTCATCTGGGAAATGGGGATGATGAAACCTATTTTACATGGTTTTAAGGATTAAATTAGAGAATGTGTGTTAAAAAGCTTAGTACAGTGCTCAGCGTGAGAATTCTAGAATTATGGTGATTAAATATTCATGTGCATAATAGGATCCTTGTTTTGTTCCTGACTTTATTTATAGTCCTGTCATTTTTATAAGTGAGGAAACCGATGTCTGCAGTGGTTCAGTAACGTGCCCTTGGTCATTTGGAGATCTGGTAATGGAGTAGCCTCCTAACTCTTAAGAACTACTCTTCCACTGGCCATGCTTTCTTTCCCTTTGAAAGAAATCCTCGGGACTTCCCTGGCGGTCCAGTGGTTAGGACTCCACGCCTCCACTGCAGGGGACATGGGTTCAATCCCTGGTCAGGGACCTAAGATCCTGCAAGCCTGCACTGTGGCCTAAAAAAAAAAAAAAAAGAAACCAAAACAACAAAAACAAAAAAAATGAAAGAAATCCTCTTGGTAGATTACTGTTGTTTAAAAAGTGTCCATTTCTCTCATACAACAGCTTTACAATTATTTCACTTAATCTCTGTGGGATTATGTTGACATTTATGTGACTTTTCAAGGTTTCACTTTCTTGAGATCAAAGATGTATCAGACTCAACCCAGCCTGCCTGCTTCTTCCCACCTCCCCTCCCTGCCTTCCACAAACATCTGTTGAACCTAATTTGAGCGAGTCATGATTTAGATTGTGGTGATACAAAGTTGAATGATAGGTTCTCCCTCTTCAGAAGGTCACTCTGTTCTGGGAAAAATAGTCATGGGAACAAATGTTACAAGGAAATGTCATAAATGCTAATAGATTATATGCTCTTAGCCTTAACTGCATAGTTACCAACTTACTGTGACAGGAGAACTCAGATAAGGCTTCAGAGAGTCTTTTATTAGAATCTTGAGTCTGAGAACATCAGAGAGTGAGGAAAAAGGACATTCCCTGAGAGGAAACAGCATATGCAAACGTATCTAGCCACGAAGGAATATGTTTTATTTGGGGAGTATCTTTTTTGTAGCTGGAGCAGAATGTGTTTGTGGGGAATTGCTGGAGGTGAGCCTAGAAAAGGGGGAAGGAGCCAACATGTAAGTCATGCATAAAATATTGGCCTGCATCTTGTTGTTAGTGGGTGGGGATGACCCACTGAGATTTCCATTTTTGCACATAACTACGGTCCTTATGGAAGTGTTACCGACCAGGGTTCTTAGCCTTCCCTGATCGATAGAAATTGATAAGAGGGACTTCCCTGGTGATGCACTGGTTAAGAATCTGCCTGCCAATGCAGGGGACACGGGTTCGAGCCCTGGTCCGGGAAGATCCCACATGCCACGGAGCAACTAAGCCCGTGCGCCACAACTACTGAGCCTGCGCTCTAGAGCCCACGTGCCACAGCTGCTGAAGCCCGTGCGCCTAGAGCCTGTGCTCCGCAACAAGGGAAGCCACCGCAGTGAGAAGCCTGCGCACCGCAACAATGAGTAGCCCCTGCTCGTAACAGATTCCCTTGCTCGCTCCCTTCCCGAGGTGGGGCGAGCTGGCCAGGGGTCGGCCAAAGGCGTGACTTAGGTGGTGGTGTGGGCAGGGGGCATGCGCAGTACCCTGCTTTTGCTCCTGACACCCAGTTTTTGCTTCCGGCTCTTCAGAAGTGGCAGTTGGGGTTTTTTTTGGCCTTTTTGTATCTTGTTGTACATAATTTGCCCCAACTGGGCCTGCATGCAGTTATTTTTCCTCCCTTACAGTTTCTCTATGCTTTGCTGCTGGAGGAGACGTTAGTCCAGGTGCAAGCACTGCAACAAAGGGTCCCAGGTCCCAGCCTGTCTCAAAAGGAGGTGGGGTTGGCTGAGGCAAGAAACTTGGATGGAAGGAAACACAGCTGGGAGGCTGTTGAGGGACCACAAGGGCGGTCCTGGGAGTAAAGAGGAAGAGATGAAAGAGAGCGTATTGAGGAACAGGACAGGCGGGAAGTGCTGACTGATCTCATGTGGCAGGCAAACATTAGATCA